AAGAGCGTCAGGTAGTAAAAAATAATGGTTTGGGAGCAGACGCTTTTTTCCTCAGCAGTTCACGTTTTCATTGCTTCTTCTTCCTTCATACCCTTCTTCCTTCCCAACAGTTTTACAAGTATCGATTTGTAAAGAGATCCAACCTAAACATGGGGTTGACTCAGTGATGGATCTGCATTTCCATTTCAAACCCATCTGTAGAAGATGTCTAAAAACTGGAGCATCAGAGCCCTTTAGTGGCTGCAGAATCCAGATGCGGAATTATATTTTGCAGGTTAGGCATGTGGTCATCCACATGGCTACACAATTACCATTATGGGGATCAAGTAAGAATCCTGGTTTTTATTTATTCTACACTGGCACCATGGAAGTGTCTTAAAATATATGGGAATATGAAAGGCTCTTAGTTTCAAGTGAGAATAAAGCTCTTGCCTTTCACAGACAAATTCATCATTTTCCTTTTTGTGCACATAAAGAAAAAGAAACCACGTTATGCAGTACACTCACAGCCATGCCTTCAAACCCAAACTCCTCAGCGGGGTACTAAAGAGAATGAAACAAATTCTGAGACTCACTAGAGAATCAGGTTGTCTACATGACTGCTCCATTAACACCTTCTCCAGGAAAGAGAAGCTGTTTTCTACCGTATTCTGTGGTTGATGCCAGCCTACTTGCCATGGGCGATGTCACTGAGGACATCAGTGGGTGGAGAAACACATAAAAGGGACCAATCAGAGGTTGGCCAGGCTGAGAGTGGCACAGCCAAGAATGGTGATTCAGATCCTTAAGTACAATGTGTCTTAAATGATGGATTCAGATTGAGAACCGCATTTGAAAAACTTGTATTTCATGTGAAGAAGGGGTCCCACGGATTTCTAAACTTTTAAGGACTTTCAAGACAGTTGTAAGAGAGCTTTGCACAAGAACACCAATGCCCAAAGCAGATCTAAAATTTAAACCAAAGATTTTTGGCTTACATTGTTTTTAAGAGGTATTTTTCCTTCTGAATTAAGCTTTTCCAATAATTATATTCCTGTTTACAACATTAAGTGCTCATTGGTTGTTCATGTCTGTGTGTTAATCAATTTAAACTTGTAAAAAGTTCATCCTTTTAATTTCTTCCAAAGCGTCAATACTTATTTACAATTTTGTTGTGGTGACAGTTTCTTGAAATGCAACCTTTCATCTTCAGATAGGGCTGAATAGAGAAGCCACATAATTAACACACCTATTAATACACTCCAGAAAGAATGCAAAATCCAAAGTTCTCGCAGCCCATGTACCATGGAAATATGCACACAAGGAAAAAGCATCCTCAGCTTCTTAACACCTAATATTAGCTACAGCTAACACCCCAGTTCCTAGTGTGGGAATATAGAAATAAATGTTACAGTTAATGTTAATGTTTAATTTTTGAGCACCTGCCTGTGTTCTTTAATTCTAAGATTTTAGTACATACTTTTGAAGATTTCCAGAACAGAAAAAGGAAGATAAATATGAAGTCTATTATAGGATGAAAAAGCAGGGTGTTCAGATCCGCAGTCTGGAGGAGTAGGCAGGCAGTGTACTGGGCTGTTACTTCTTATTTTTCTATTCTGTGTCCACAAGCAATCCAAAGACTAGGGGAAGCTGCTCACATCTTTTCTGCAGAACCATCCTGCCTGTGTAGCATTTTCAATCACAAGCTTTGTGATTAGGTGGCCACTCAGTCAACTGTGACTCCAGAAACTTTGGGAAACACTGTTCCCTGTAAAGCAACCACAAGAAAGGGAATAAAATTCATTCTGCCAGTTGGTCCCATAACTATTTGCTGGACAGCCGTAAACATCAGGAGCCAAAATTTCCAGCGCAGATCCTGCAGTTACCACCTGCGCAGTGAAGCCCACAGCTTTGCCTCAGTTCTTCCCAATAGCAGGGTGACTATGGAGAAGATGTCGCTCAGTCATAAGGTATTGAAGACTTTTTCTCAAGTATAAGTGACCTTGTACTACCTCTCCTTGTAGGATGTATCCCCTGTTTGCAGGGTGTATCCTGGGAAGGGGAGAGAGAAGAACGATGTTTGCCTGTGTCCTGCTATGAAGCCCTCCCCAGTAAGAAGGGCCATGCAATACAAATGCTTTTAATCACATTTTTTAAACCTTGCTGGGACCATAGCTGTCTCACTGCTAAGGAATGCTGGTGTAAGCAATACTGCTGCTATTTCAGACCTGAAGAAGGATTTGTGTGCCTGAAAGCTTGTCTGTTTTCTTCCAACTGTAACAGCTGATCTAATAAAAGATATTGCCTTTCCTTAAAAACCTTGAATTGCATTACTGTTCCCTGATTTCACTGAGGTTTGGATCAGGCTTTAACAGCTGATGTCGTGCTGTTCGACAGGCAGCTGGCACTTCTGGAAGGTGTCAAAGAGAACATGCTGTCCTGTAAATGGTAAATAGCAAATTTTACAAAGGAAGAAGAGAGGCTGCAAATATACCATTAGCCTACAGGGCACATTCAGAACAAATCAGCATGGAAAATTAATCCAGATCAAGCAAGTGTCATACCAAGCATGAGTATAATAGCAAATTACAAAACAAAAGCAAAAAACATGCTGCTTACGGGCAGCTAAATGAAGGATTTGTTCAAGTTTTAAAGGTTTTAAAATCTGACATGTCATAAAGATAACATGAAATACTTCTGTAAGACTAAATTTAAGTATAATTTGAGATACATTTTAGAGGCACCATTTTAAACAATGGTTAATGCAAGTTTCTTAGCCAGAATTTTGCAGAATGCTGGCACTTGCGCTACAGTTTCTTTGCTTCAGTTCCCACTTGCACACATACAATTCAAAGTGCATTGATCTGTGTTGCAGACAAATAAAATCACCATCCACTCTAAAAAACTTCTCAAGCTCAACCCTTTTTCAAAGTCAAAAATGTTAGATCAAATCTAGATGAACTAGAGAAACAAAAAATGAGTACTCCTCAAACCTCCCACCTCAACAAAATGAATCAGCAATTTTTTTGCTGGTCTTCTGGGCACTGTTCAGGTAACTGTAAGCAACAGGTACCAGTGCCCTCTCTCCATGCTCTACCCATCTCAGCTGAGGTCACTGCTCATATTCCCAGGTGAAATTCCACTTCAGTTCAATGAAGCTGTAAATGTTTACACCAGAAGCAAACTTGGGTTTTTTTTTTTCTTTCCTAGACACACTATGCCTCTAGATCAAAGTCTCCAAATACAAACCTGAAAAGGGAGAACATATTTTAACAAAATACCCAAGTGTGGTGAAGCATCCTTTTTGCTACTTGCAAACGTCTTTGCTCCTCATATACTCACCCCGTGAAGTGCAAACCCCACTTTTTCCCATATGCACATCTCTGGTTTACCTTTCCAAATTCAGAAAATATTTCACGTATGGCAGGGATGAAGCCTAATTTTTTTGTGTATAACAACATGATGGCTGGGCCTGGGATGACACCAGAGGAGACCTGCATTCACGTCTTGCTTGGCCACAGGCTTCCTCTGCAAAGTCAGTCTAAATGCTCTGCATTTCTGTATGGACACTGTGGTCTCTACTGCGGTGGCAAGTGCTGCCGTAACACACACAGCAGGAACAGACATAAATGTGAAGGCAGACAAAAAGCGCCCAAGAACAGCTGCTGCAAAAAGTGGCAAGAATGGCTGCTGTATTTCAGCAGCTACGTGGAGACTTGTCCATCAGCCTTTGGCTGACACAAGAGCAAAAGTACCGATGCAGAAAGCAGATGGCTCACGCAGCGTTAGGACGCACCAGACCCCACGGCACTGAGGATGCGCCTGAGCTCTGGCTGCTTCTGGATGCCTTTGCAGTGGTGAGGCAGCATTGCTCCAGGCTTTGCTTTAGGGCTGGATCTGCAGTTTGGAGGACTGATTCTGCAAATAACGACGTAGTGAGCTCAATGCTACCTGTACGACTGCTCCTGCTGGTTTTCTGGCAACTGCTCATGAGCTTAAGGCCACTGCTTACAATGCACCCTTAACGAGTAACTCCTCTGATACATAGCAAACAATATTTCAAAGAGGAGGCACCTTGTCTTTCCTGCAGGCGGTGGGGACCCCTGGCCCCTTTAATGGGTATCACAGCTTCCAAATCTTTAATAGTTTTCACATATAATTAGTTGCTGTAAAGACAATGGGCATCTCAGTGGAGATAAATCCTTTTACAAATGGTTTGGCCCCTTGCTCTTTCATCTGTCAGGTCTCCTTTTCATAAGGCTTTTCTTTGAATTTCAGTTATTCATCTACTTCAGGCTGCCAGGAATGGATGAAAGAATACTTTTAATCTATGAGGCTCATGGATAATTAAATTAGAGGTGTTGGTCTACTCTGGAAAGCTGTTTTATATTTTCATTAACTTAAAAGGGACATTCCAATTACATTCCCTGTTTAGTAAACAATTTATATATTGCCAGCAGACTCCACTACAGCATATATCCAAAATGTGGCCTTCCAGAGAACTGCTGTGAAGGTAGCAAGTTTATGCTTACAGTAAGTGGTTTATCCCCCTTTTCCATCACCCCC